GTGCCTGGGAGCAGCTGGAGTTTGGTTTTACACCGTGGCTGTGATCCCACCACAGTCACCACCTGGCACCACCTGGAAAAGCCACTGGAGAGAGCCGGGGAGGACACCCAGTTTTGTGGGTGCTGCCGGATGGGAGCAGAGCTGCACCCCAAGGATCACCAGCGCTGGCACCAATCCCATGGAAGCGAATGAGACTGCACCATGAACCCCTGATGGGTCCCAATGAATCCCAATCAGTCCAGATGGGTTCCAATGGATCCTGATAGATCCCAATGGGACCCCGCCAGCGTCCCAGGCCCGCACAGCATCCCATCCCAGAGCTCTGGAATGCCTCCCTCCACCCTTCCTGGCTCCCAGGGGTGGTTCTGGCAAACACTTTTCAGCCCAACCTCTCTATTTACTTTGCATTCAATGAGCAGCTTAATTATTAATAATCTGCTGAGGGAATAACTCTTTGAGGGGAACATGCTGCACCAGGCGTGTTCCTGGGGCTCCCACAGGCACGGGGTGGCCGTGGCGCCAGCGGCTGAAATTCCCAGCCAGAGGACACAGCTGCACCAACCATTTCCTCACCAGTGACCCCCGGGACAGGCCGGGCCTCACAGCTCTGCATCCCCGTCTCAATGTCCCAGCAACTTCCCAGCTCCCCTGGGGCATCCCAGAGCTTGCTTTTGGGTTTTCCCTATTGGATCTACTCTTTTTAGGGCCAAACCCCTATATCTGCCATACACAAGGCGTATCCACCTGCTGTTTGCTCCTCCTGATCCCATAAATCCATGTACACTCCATTTTTGGCAGGCCCCATTCCACACAGACACGGTGCTTCCTACCCCCGTGTTCCCCTTGCACACTCTTATGGGTGCAAACATCCAGCCCCACATCCCAGGCTCCCTGCCCCATAGAGCTGCTTCCCAAGCATCCCAAGCCCCCCCCAGCATCCCAAAACTCTCCAAATATCCCAACACCCTGTCAAGCATCCCGCTACTCCCCAGCCATCCTGCTGTCCCCCAAGCATCCCTCTGCTCCCCAAGCAACCCAACAACCCCCCAAGCATCCTGCTGTCCCCTCCACCATCCTGCCGCCCTGCAAGCACCCCACAAGCTCCCAAGCATCCCGCTGTGCCCTCAGTATCCATCACCTTTTCCTCTGCCTGCGCCGCTGGCGCTGGGCTGTCCCTGTCCTGTCCTGGGCTGGCCGGGGTGCCAGGGGAGCGGGTGGCACGGGGCGGGGGTGCCGATGCTGCTCCGACATGGAATAAGCTCTTCCAGGGCAGCTCCCCGCAAACGCTGGCTTTTCCAAAGCCTCCCCGCTCCACCGCGGTGCTTATGGCATCGCCTGGATCCCGGCCTTGGCTCGCCGGCCTGGGAAGGGGGGAGAGGGAACGGAGAGGGAGCGGCTGGCGAAGGGACGCGGGGCTGCGGCCGGGCACTGCCCGGCTCCCCGGGGCCGGCCCTGGGTGCCCGCGGCCACCCCGAGCCGCCCGGCTCCCCACCCACTGCCCGGGCACAGAGGAGCCATTCAGCCCGCGCCGGGAACAACGGGGACGTTTGTCTCCATCTGCGCCCGCGGCCTCAACGGGGTGATTGTCCCCACGGGCCCCCGCGCCGGCCCCTCGGCTCCGCGCCACCGCCGGCCCCCGGCCCGGCTTGGCCCCACGCGCTGGGTGACGGCAGCCGGCCCTGGGCGGTGGCACCCACCTGTCGCCACCGGCCTCCTCCTCGTCCCACGGGACAGCTCACGGGCTGGCTGTCACCTCCTGCAGCCGGAGCTCACCCAGCCGGCCCTGGCCACGCACCGTTGGCTCCTCTTCATCCTCCCGCAGCCCTCCCTCCCTCCCGCTGTACCTCCATGGTTTTACGGCCTTGATGGCAGCAGTATTCCCGTGTCCCTGAGCTCAGCCCAATAACTGCAGAGCCACCGCGCTGTCACCGGCCTTTCCACCTTCCCCTGGTCACATTGGCTGAGTGGGTGCCGAGGGGCTGGGTGGGTGTCTGGGGGGGTGAGCAGGTGCCCCAGCTGCAACAGGAGGGCTCAGCCCCATCCCTGCTCCACCACCCCCACGTGCATGGGTGGAAAAAGGGCCTCTGTGCTCCTGGATCTGGCCTTTGCTCTTCCTGCTGCTCTCAGATTCAAGTCTCTGTCACAAAAGGGGGTGATGGCCTTGGGTCCCCAAGTGAGGGGTGACCACGCTGGCATTCAGCACCCCAGGGCACCCTTCGGCCATGTCCAGGACCCCCCATCCCTGTCAGAGGACTTTGGAGTTCAGAGCTCATCCCTACAGGATTTGGGGAGGTCACCCTGCAGTGACTTGGCAGCTCTTGCCCCATCCCTGGCAACTGCCCCATCCTGCCCAGCATTGGCGAGACCAGTTCCCACCCAGGGACAACCTGTGCAATCCCCCAGGAACGGGAAAATCCAGAATAGCTTCGTCATCGTCATCATATCATCATCATCACCATCATCATCATCACCATCATCACCATCATCATCATCATCATCATCATTGCAAGAGAAGGGATGAAGACAAGTGAGCTGGGATGTGCCCGCCCGCTGCGGGGGAGGTGGAGGCTGGTGCCAAGATGGGATCATGATTCACCCTGGAACCAGTTGTGAGGGGGCAAGGAGTGGTCCCACCCTGTCTCTGCAGGGCACCTCTTAATTCCAGGTTTACCCCTTTTTTCTGAGATGGATTGCAAAGAGATTCCACGTTTCCCCCATTTTGGGGGATGGGTTTCCAGGTTTCCCCCTTTTTTTTGGGATTGGTTATGAAGGATTTCCAGTTTCTCCCCTTTTTTGGAGATGGGTCATGAAGGGCTTCCAGGTTTCTCCCTTTTTTGGATATTGGCTGTGAAGGGTTTCCAGATTCTCCCTTTTTGAGGGGATGGGCTGTGAAGGGCTTCCAGATTTCCCCTGTTTTTAGGGGATAGTTGGGAAGGGTTTCCAGCCAGAAGAGAACAGCAGTGGCTGGGATGTGGCAGTCCAACAACAGGATCCCGGATGCCTCAGGACGGAGGTGACCAAGCCAAGAAGCCACAACACCCCATCTCCCACATCCACAGAGTGTAACCCTCTCCCACATCCCATGGGGTGTAACCATCCCCATGAGGGCTCCACCACCACATCCTCCACCCCTGTTCCTCGTCCCTCCAACCCAAGTTTTGGGGTACAAAGCAGGTACTCACACTGACAGCTGTGACCGCCGGAGCTGTGGATCCCGAGGGATGGGGTGAGGATGGGCAGTGTGGATCCTGAGGGACGGCGTGAGGATGGGTGGTGTGGATCCTGAGGGATGGTGTGAGGATGGGCGGTGTGGATCCTGAGGGATGGTGTGAGGATGGGCGGTGTGGATCCTGAGGGATGGTGTGAGGATAGGAGGTGTGGATCCTGAGGGATAGCGTGAGGATGGGAGGTGTGGATCCTGAGGGATGGCGTGAGGATGGGCAGCGTCATGCCCTGGCAGACACTGCTGCCAAAGTGTGGTGTCAGTGCCTTTATTGCCAGAGAGGCCTGTCACGACTGCAGTGGCCCAACTGGTTTGTAGCCACCCAGCCAGGGCCAGTGCCAGCCCTGTCCAGTGCCCTCAGGGCCTGGAGCCGGTGTTTGGAGTGAGGGCCCGGACTGAGGCCCTGGAACAGGTGTTTGGAAGCAAAGGCCTGGAGCCGGTGTTGGGAGTGAGGGCCTGGAGTGAGTGTTTGGGATCAAGGGCCTGGAGCCGGTGTTGGGAATGAGGGCCTGGAATGGGTGTTTGGGATCAAGGGCCTGGAGCCGGTGTTGGGAATGAGGGCCTGGAATGGGGTCTGGGACTGGATGTCCAGGGGCTCCCGGGATTGGGGGCCCCGTTCTGGGTCTCTGGCCCTGAGGGGGAGCCCTGGGCCTGGGGGCACCCCAGCACTCGATCCTTCTTGGGGAGAGGGGAAGGGGGAAAAAGAAAAAAGGGGAAAATCCTTCCAACTCCCTGAAGTGGGAAAAAAAAAAAAGGAAAAAAAGAAGGGGAAATAGAAAAAAAAAACAAAAAGGGAAAAAAAGAGGGAGGAGGAAATGGGGGGGAAAAGGGGGAAAATAAAAAAAGAAAAAATAAAAGAAAAAAAGGACAAAACAGGAAAAAATTAAAAAAGGGGAAAAGGGAAAAATAGGAAAGCCAAGGAGAACTAAGGACAATGAAAAGGAAAAAGGGAAAGAAAAAGGAAAATAAGGGAGAAAAGGGGAGAAAAAAGGTAAAAAAGGAAAGAAAAATGGGGGAAACAAAGGAAAAAAGGGAAGAAAAATGAGGGAAAATGGAAAGGAAAAAAGGGAGGAAAGTGAAGGAAAATGAAAAGGGGGGAAAGGAAAAAAGGAAAAAAAAGGAAAAAGGAAAAAAGGAAAAAAGGAAAAAAGGAAAAAAGG